CACTTTCCACAATGAGAGGTTTTCTATACTTTGAAGGGTTTGTTGTGGTGGTGGTGGTGGTAGTGGTGGTAGTGGTGGTGTGTTTTTTATTTTGGAGGGGAGGTTACAAGGGCATATGGAGATGGGAGATGAGCAGGAGTGGGTGCATGATGTGAAACTTACAAAGAATAACTTTAAAGTTTTTAAAAATAGAAAAGGTTATGGAATCTCCCTTTTCAACTAAGGAAAGCCAGTGAGGCTAGGCATGTGGCAGGGGTGTCCCTGCATGGACACACAGAGAGTCCATTATGTGTGGCTGTGAAGTTGAAGCCTGGACTGCCTTGGAGACCCCAAGATGTTAGAGATGCCAGAGTCATGGAATACCTGTAAAGGAAAGCTACAAACTGGGAGTAGAACCAGCCCAAGTGAAAGAAATGTGTGAATCCTCAAAGATGGAGGGAGTTGGAGATCTGAAGAATGCTTTGACATCAGACACAGAGATGCAGAGTTTGTAGTTTTCCCAGTAAGTTTTCAGTTTTGCTTTGGTCCAGTATTTCTTCACTATGCTCCCTTCCCTAAGTTTTGGAATGATAATGTATATCCTGTGCCATTATATGTTGGAAGTATATGATCTGTTCTTTTATTTTGATTTTTATAGGGGATTACAGTTAAAAGATTGCATGATATCAGAAGAGATTTTGAACTTTGGATTTTTATACATTGTTGAGACTGTTATAGACTGTGGGGACTTTTTAAGTTGGACTGAATGCATTTTTGCATTATGTTAGGTTATGTTATGAAAGCCAGGGAGTGGAATGTGATGGTGTGAATAGGAATGGCTCCCTTAGACTCATGTGTTTGAATGCTTGGTCCATGGGAAGTGGCACTATTAGGTGTGGCCTCGGAATAGGTGTGGTCTTGTTAAAGTAGGTGTGGCCTTGTTGGAGGAAGTGTGTCACTATGGGGGCAAGCTTTAAGACTTCCTTATGCTCAAGCTACACTGAGTGACACAGTCTCCTTCTGCTGATGGGGATCAAGATGTTGAACTCTCAACTCCTTCTTCAGCACCATGTCTGCCTGCACGCTGTCACACTTCACACCATGATGACAATGGACTAAACCCCTAAAACAGCCCCAATGAAAGGTTGTCCTTTATAAGAGTTGCCTTGGTCATGATGTGGTTGCTGTGATTGAACTCTGGTCCTCTGAAAGAGCAGTAAGTACTCTTAACCACTCTGCCATCTCTCCAGCTGTGATGGTTTGAATATGCTTGGCCTATGGGATGTGACCCCATTTGGAGTCTTGGCCTTGTTAGAGGAAGTGCATCACTGGGTAGGCAGGCTTTGAGGTCTCCTAGTGCTCAGGCTTCACCCAGTGTGGAAGAGAGCCTCCTCCTGGATCTCTGCAGAAGACAGTCTCCTTCTGGCTGCCTTTGGATCAAGATGTAGAACACTCAGCTCTTTCTCCAGCACCATGTCTGCCTACAGGCTGCCATGCTCCTGCCATGATGATAATAGACTGAACCTCTGAAACCGTAAAGCCAGCTTTAATTAAATGTTTGCCTTTATACAAGTTGCCTTGATCATGGTGTCTCTTCACAGCAATAAAAGCCAAACTAAGACATGAGCCCCCCCCAGTGAAAACACTTTCAATTTAGCATAAAAATTGTTTGAAGAAATTGAGTCGGCCAGGCGGTGGTGGCGCACGCCTTTAATCCCAGCACTTGGGAGGCAGAGGCAGGCGGATTTCTGAGTTCGAGAGTTCGAGGCTAGCCTGGTCTACAGAGTGAGTTCCAGGACAGCCAGGACTACACAGAGAAACCCTATCTCGAAAAACAAAAAACAAAAAAAAAAAAAAAAAAAAAAAAAAAAAAAAAAAAAAAACAAAAAAAAAAAAAGAAAAGAAAAGAAATTGAGTCCATAGATGTTCTGAGCCTAAACATAACATGCCAGAGAGTTCTGGTCTCTGGTCTGTGAGCTGTGTGCCTCTCCTCTTTTTATTCACTCCTGGATTCTCCCTAAAGCCCACAGCTCACAGCTCACAGCTCACAGCTCACAGCTCAAAGCTCACAGCTCACAGCTCACAGCTCACAGCTCACAGCTCACAGCACAGTTATAGAACCACAAACAACTGCCATCTGGGATTATAGATCTGCATGTGTAGCACCTCTGTCATTGAGATAATGGACCAGTACCCCACAATGACACCCAGGGACACTGGAAATTTGGGGGTCACGGTCTATGGTTCCTAAGGAACTATATCATAAGGTTGATCTCTGGCCTCCACATGGACACGCATGCACATGCATCCACCTACTCACACACACATAGAGAAATGTAAGTCAAAGCTAATATACAACTCACATACAGAATATAGGATACCAAAAGGGTGACTTTACCGGAGTTTGGATGAGCTCCACTCTTCTACCTCGAAGACTCCCTCATCCCGATTTCAGCTTTTCCTCTGCCAGCCTCCACCTACAGAGAAGACTTCTGAAGGTCCTGCCCCATCTCTCTTCACCTTGGTGACTATCACAGCCACTCAAAGAATGTAAGAAGATCCCAGTGACTGGAGAGATGGCTTAGCCATTGTAAGCACCTGTTATTCTCTCAGAGGACCCGGGTTTGAGGACCAGCACCCATACTCACATGCAGATGGCTCACAACCATCTATAACTCCAGTTTCAATGCCCTCTTTGGACCTCTGAGGATATCACCACTAAGATGCAACCCCAGCACTAAACAATGAAATGCTTTAATATAACTGTGCTCTGTGCAAAATGTGAAATGGAACTACACTGAAAACATTGTCCTTCATTAATCTGAAACTCAAATTTCATTCTAGCCATTGCATCATTCTTGGGTAAATCTCTCTCTCTCTCTCTCTCTCTCTCTCTCTCTCTCTCCGTGTGTGTGTGTGTGTGTGTGTGTGCGTGTGTGTGTGTTGGGGATGTTGTAAGAAAACATTCTATCCAAAAGCAACCTAAATTAAGATTTATTTAACTCACACTTCTAGGTCATAGTCCCTCAGTGAAAGGAATCAAGACAGGAACCTGGAGCCAGGAACAGTACAGGAATATGCTGCGTTGATGGCTCATGCTTAGCTAGCCTTCTTTTTTAATATTTTGTTTTACTTTATTTATTTTATTTTGTGTGTGTGGGTAGGGGTGGGCTGTTTTCCTTGCAAGTATGTTTATGTACCACTTGCATACCTAGTACTCATGGAGGCCGAAAGAGGGTGAGAACTGGAGTTTCAAATGGTTGTGGGCTGCCATGTGGGTGCTTATAATCAAACCCAGATCCTCTGAAAGAGAAATCAATGCTCTTAGCCACTGAGCCATCTCTCCAGCCTTTAGCTAACTCTCTTATACATCCTAGGACTGCCTGGCTACAAGTGGTGCCTCCCACAGTGGCTGGGTCCTCCAACATTAGTTAATAATGAAGACACTCTCTTGTCTTAGTTAGGGTTTTACTGCTGTGAACGGACACCATGATCAAGGCAAGTCTTATAAAGGACAACATTTAATTGGGGCTGGCTTACAGGTTCAGAGGTTCAGTCTATTATCATCAAGGCAGGAACATGGCAGCATCTAGGCAGGTATGGTGGAAGAGAAGCTGATAGTTCTACATCTTCATCTGAAGGGTGCTAGTAGAATTACTAACTTCCAGGCAGCTAGGACAAAGCCCACACTCGCAGTGACACACCTACTCCAACAAGACACATCTCCTAATAGTGTCACTCCCTGGACCAAGCATACACAAACCATCACACTCTCCTATAGACATGCTGCAGGCCAATGTGATGTAGGCAATACCTCAATCAGGGATCTCTTCTCTATGTCCCTAGAGTATGTCAAGTTGACACTTAGAGATAACTGATAGGAAGGTGGGGAGAGAATGATATAATGTTTTTAGATTCCCCTGGGTGATTGACATTTGGGATTTCATGGAAAGAAGCTGTAATTTTCCTAATCTAGCCTTAACCCTATAAGAAAAGAATTGTTTTTTATCCTCAGAGTTCTCAGTACAGAATTCCCCCTTTCTACCTCAGGTGGTAGATTCCACGTGTATTTGTTTCTGCCTCTTCACCTTATAGTATTGCAAAGGGGTGCGGTGACTGACAGCTCAGCACTGATATCCTGAATGCCTGGCATACTACACTGAAATCCTGCGTGCCTGGCACACTCTCTCCTGTTCTGTGAAATGCCTACTGTTCATTTCTGAATTACTCCTCAACTCCAAAAATAGTGAATGAAGAGACTTCAGCAGAGGAGCTGATTCCTGATCCAAAGTCATAGTGGGGGAAAGATGAATAAAATTTAAATGTGCTAGCTTTGGAGCCAGCACTCACGTATTTGATTTAAAGTAAAAATGAACATGTTTCCTCAGTCCTAGTAAGGTGTGGTTCTCATACCCAAATGCCATTGCACATATGTGTTTGTGCATGTGTTTATGTACATAGTCACAGAGACCAGAAAGCAATGTCCAGTGTCATCTCTCAGGCATTGAATGCCATGAAATCACCAAAAATCTAGATTTGCTCTGGCCGTCTGGCTACAGGTATCTACTTGTCTCTACCTCCTCAGTGCCGGGATTACCAGTGTGCACTAGCTGTTTTCACTTGGGTGCTGGATATCAAATTCAGGTCCTCACACTTATGGGGCAATCTGTAGCCCAAGAAAGGGAGCCATCTCTCTAGCCTGAGTACATTCTCTCCTCACTTAACTGATCTGACAAAACTAATGAAATAGGAGGAGATCCTGGACAGTCTCTGTAGTTTAGGAAATAGCTGGAGGAGACTGCACAGGGCTGTACCGGTACTGATTCAGTTGTTGAGGCAAACAGGTGAGCTGCATCATGAGTGAGTTTGAGGGTCAAATGGGAACTGTGACTGAGCAGCTGAGAGGTGTCACCTCTGTGTTTCACAGTCAAGCGGAACAGTGATGATGGTGACCACTGGGAACACTAACAACAGGAGACAGCGGAAGTCCTCTCTCAACATAATTTTGTAGACAATTCAAATGCTTGAAATACTGTCACATGTTCACAAGAGGACTGGGAAGTTAGTAAAGTGCTTGCTGCACAGGCATGAAACCTAGGTTTGGATCCCCTGCATCATAAAACTCTGAGTGCTATGACACACTCTTGTAATCCAGTCAGGGAAGTGGAGACAGGAAGGTCCTTCGTGTTTACTAACCAACTTCAGCCTCTTCAAATGGATAAGCTGCAGGTTTACTGCTCTTTTTCAAAAACAGGATGCAAAGGAAGATACAATACGACCTCTGGCTTCCATGTGCGCCTGCACACAAGCAGAAAAGAACAGTTTTTAAAATTATGAATAATTTCTTCAATATGATCATCCTGTACTACACTTTATTGTGGACTTTGGACAATTAGATATTCTTAAAGTCCAGCCACACTGGAGTGCTGAGGCTGCTACTTGTCACCCAGCCATGTGTAATCTGGTTTTTGTCTTTATTGTAAATTTTAACTTCTATTGCAGACAATGACGTCACTTCCTACTTCACAGAGATCAAAGGTAGAAACAATGATTGGTTGCTTTGCCTTTCAGAGTAAAGGATCCTTTCTTTTGAAAGCTAACCATCCACCTGCACACTAGTGTTTCTTACTCCCTTCCTCTCAACCTATTATTGTGTACCTATATATGTACATGTTCATGTTCATGTGAGTGCATGTACATGTGTAGACATATGTGTGTAACCAAAGATTAATCTCAAATGGTTGTTTTCTTTCTTTCTTTCTTTCTTTCTTTCTTTCTTTCTTTCTTTCTTTCTTCCTTCCTTCCTTCATTCCTTCCTTCTTTCCTTTCTTTCTTTCTTTCTTTCCTTCTTTCTTTCTTTCTGTATGCCTGTCTTTCTTTCTTTTTTTCTTTTAGGTGATGCTTGCCTTGATTTTTGATACAGGGTGTCTCACTGAACCTGGAGCTCACACATAGGCAAGGCTGAAATCAGGACCCAGGGATCCATCTGTTTCCATCTTCCCAGCACTGGAATTGCAACTGCTTGCTATTATATGCCCCGGCTTTTGCATGGGTGTTGAAGGATCCAACACAGGTCCCCATGCTTGAGTAGTAAGTATTTTACCCAGTGAGCTAATATTTTACTGGTTCACTCAATGTCTCCTCAGGCATCTCACATCCCTTGACTTCACATCCTACTTAGATGATCAATCGCCAGTCTCCTCCAAGCCCCCTTAACTTTATAACAACTATGCTGATCGCCAGTTTTCTGTCAACTTGACACAGGCTAGGGGCATTTGAGAAAAGAGAAACCTCAGTTGAGAAAATGCTGCCACCAGATTGGTCTGTGGACAAGCCTATGGGACATCTTCTGGATTAATGATTGATGTGGGTTGGTTCATCCATAGGAAGGTGGTTGTTGTCACCCCAGGTGAGGTGGTCATCAGTTATATAAGAAAACACGCTTACTCAGCCAAAGCAACATTCCTTCATAGCTTCTGCTTCAGTTCTTGCTTTGAGTTCCATCTTTGAGCGTTCCTTCTCTGACTTCTTTTGATAAGGGTCTGTGATGTAAACCAAATAAGTCCTTTCCTTTCCAAGTTGTTTTTGATGATGATGTTTTATCATAGCAATTAAAAAAAAAAAAAAACCTTTAACTGTAGGAAATTGGTTCTAATGCCTTGATTCAATCAGGAATCTTCATGTCCAAACACTAAAGGTCCTTGTCCCCAATTGGGTTTTGATCAATCAATAAAGATGCCAGTGGCCAATGGTTGGGCAAAGGGAGATGGGGCAGAACCTTTAGGTTGTTCAGGCTAGGACAAGGGGGTGGGGTGTGGAGAAGATGAAAGATTACCATGATGCAGTAGGAAAGGGAAGGGATTTAGAGCTTCAGAGGGAAGATCATTCAAAACATAGAAGGAAAGGGAAAGCAGCCCCTGGAAGGGCTGTCCAGAAGCATCTTGGGCAGCAAAGACCAGTGGGCCTCACAGAAGGTAACAGGCCAGCAAAGTTAAAGGTAGATTTAGAAGATGTTGAGCCAGGAGTACCAGCGGGAAAAGCATGCTAGCCACAGGAGGATTAGAACTGCCCAGCTTTTGAGTAACCAAGGGATTTCAAAAATAAGCTAAAGTGTGTGTGTTTTTCATTCATGGATCCAAAGAGTTCCTGGGTTGGTGGCTGGAAGCATGCAAACTGCTGGGGGCACAAAGCAAAAACCCCTGTACACCTAACTAAGAAAATAACCCTTGACATTCCTAAAGGAACTTGCAAATTTTTCAGGAGCATCATATGCAGGTGGGTGCAAAATGCAATTTTCTCTACTTTTCTATAAATCTGCACAATTGCTAATAAATTCTTTTACCATCAAATTATGGAAACATATCTCAGTCATTTCAGGGTCTCCTTTATCTGGACATTTTAATTCAATAGGAGCAAGCTTATATAATAACAATAACAAAAAAAACAACTATGATAAACCTCATGTGTGTTACTTTCCACTAGCCAGTAGATTTATGTGCCTTCCATATCTTAACTAGTTTAACCCTTACAACAGTTCAAGGAAGAATCTACCATTGTTGTCCTATTTTACATATTAGCAGAGAGATAGACATATAGGTAGGTAGGTATGTAGGTTGGTAGATTAGATAGACAGAAACATAGATGGTAGATAGGTAATAGATAGATAGATAGATGACAAATAGATAGATAGATAGATAGATAGATAGATAGATAGATAGATAGATAGATAATAAGATCTTAGATAGATAGATTACTTGATTGATGGATATAGTAGTTAAGTTGTTTGCCCAAAGAAGCAAAGTCAATGCTATAGCTCATTCTCTGATCTTTTTACCTGTGGGGCAGTGGGCTGTGAGAAGCAGCTGAGCACCTGTTCGAGCACAGGCTTCAAACCCTGGACCCTCATGGGATGGAAGGCATTCTGAGTTGCTCCTGGCTCCTGCCTCTTTTCACTCAGTCTCAGCCCCCACAGCCCCTCTCACAGAGAGGTCTATGGCCACCCGTCAGGTAGGAATAGTGCCTCAGGCTCTCCCACATGTAGATGAGGCATCCCCAAGCTCTCAGACCAAGCCAATAGGCATTATCTGCTGCCAGACCCTAACCCACACCAAAACTGTATATAATGACCCTACTCAGGAGAAGTAAAGGTATGAGCGAGAATCATCCCATTGTCCTAGAGTTTCTGTCACAAGCGCTCTAACACTAGAGCTGTAACACTTGGGAAGAGCCTTCAGGACCCTCCCCGTCCTGCTAGCTACCCCAGCGCCACATCAGCCACCGCCTGGACCGGCTCAGAGCAGAGAGATGAGTGCAGCACCTGAGAGTAACCAGGCAGCGACAGCAGAGATGCAGGTGGAGGCAGTGGTGGAGACAGCAGCGGACCCTTCCTGCTCCCACTCTGTTCCCAACCGTGTCGGAGATCTTCGTGAGGCACCCTCCAGAATGAGGATCCACATTTACCCTGCCTTGTGTGAAAGCTCATCATGAAGGAAAACTTGACAGAAGTAGAATTGTGCCTGTGAAGAAGTTTCTAGATTAGTGAATAGAGATAGGAAGACCAACCCTGAATGTAGGCATCACCATCTATCTTAGGGTTTCTATTACTGTACAGAAACATCGTGACCACAGCAACTCTTATAAAGAGAAACATTTCACTAGTGCTGACTTACGGTTCAGAGGTTTAATCTATTACCATCATGGCAGTATTCAGGCAGACATGGGCTAGAGAAGGAGCTGAGCATTCTACATCTTGATCTGCAGGCAGCAAAAAAAAAAAAAAGACTGAACCACACTAGGCCTAGCTTGAGCATCTGAGACCTCAAAGCCTGCCCCATACTCTCCAACAAGGCACCTACTCCAACAAAGCCACATCTCCTAATAGTGCAACTCCCAATAGGCCGACGGGGGACATTTAATTTAACCACCACACCATCCTATGGGCTGGGGTCCGGGACTGAAGGAGAAATGAGCTGAGCACCAGCATTCATCTTTCTCTTCCAGCTTCCTGACTGTGGGTGTGACCAGACGCCTTACACTCCAGCTTCCGTGACTGTACCCTCAAACTGTGAAGCAAAACTCCTTAAGTTGCTTTTGCCAGATGTTTTACCACATGACAAGTCACTAATGCAATAGGAATAGGAATTACAGGAAGAGGTAGTGTTTAGTGTGGACAGTCGCTGATGTTGGGTAGGGCCATGCTTCTCCACTAATCACCAACACACGCAGGGCCTGAAGGCTCATCCTCATCCCCCGCCCATTTCCCCCAGGCCTCCTGATATCTGCCTTGCTTCCATCCTCCTTTTGTGATCACCAAATACCTCTCTCACTGTACAACTGTTGAGCTGTGGCCACTCTATTCACACACACAAAGCCTTGTAGGTCCAGGTACAAGCTCCATCCTGCCTTTTGGCTCCTTCCTCCACTGTGGGTGAGCAAAAAGCTGTTCTTCATTCCTGGATCTAGGGATTCTTTTCCTACCCCAACTTAGACTCACAGTGTCCACAAGCTACTGTTCCTTCTTTGAGCTTCTTCCCTTGTCTGGAGGATCTTTATTTAGTCGGACACAGTAGATGTTTAGTCTCCACCCTAGTTCTTCCCAAGTCTATGGCTTAAAGTCTTTCCATCTACCACTGAGACCAAGGCCTTTAAAATTTAAATACAATAGCTAGTTTCTGTTTCAACCCTTGAATACTTAATTACCTAAATATAAAAAGAGCTAGAGAGAGTGCTGGAGATGAAAACTTATCTGCATAATGTTACTGCAATAAAATACCTTGAAAAAGGAAAAACAATGTTCTGGGCACAGCATACCATGACAGGAACTGCCTGCAGCAGGCGGGGATGGAGACATCTCAGTAGCCTGTGGGCAGCTCTTTGTAAAAAACAGTTGCTCCCATTTCTCCTAACCTTAGCTCTGGACAACGGCTGTGTAGATTTCATTTGTGTGGGACTGGTTTTTAGTTGGCCTTGGTGTGCATAATTATTCTATTATATCTGACTTTCCAATTTCTTTCTCCTTCTGCTCTGGTGAATTCTATGAAACTAGATGTTCCTTAAACTAGATGTTCCTTAGATGATTCTTAAACAATTAAAAATTGAGGCACAGGGCACAGCACAGTCCTAACGGCCCAGGTGCACGCTGTGTGTTCTCATCTTGGAAACAATGTAATAACTGTAAAATGGTAGTTATTAATCAATGTTTGACTTGCAAAGAAAGTTTGAATAAATCATGTTTAGAGGTATTTGAGAATGAAACAGAGCCATGTACTGCTAAAGTCATATAGGGTCCATTACCAGAA